AGGCTGTTTGTGTGCCTTTATAGCACTTTTTTAATGCAGCACTTTATTTTAAATAGATTGATACTGTGGCTTGCAAAAGGCATTATAAGATCATATATGATTCCAAATTGGTTCATTGCAAAATTAATTTTTTAAAAAATCTGGTTGAAATAGTTGCTGCTGCCTTGGTGAGTCTCCATCCTCGTGGGTTTTCTCTGCCGTGTTTGAGGAGCAGGAGGAGGGATGCTTTTTCAGATAGGGTCGTGGAGGTGAAGGACAGGACAGCAAGGGCAGTGCCCCAATGGAGCACGAAAATGTTCTGCTGAACTTCAGTAACGGAGGTAGCTATTTCTCTCTCAGAGTTTTCTTCCTGAACGTGCAAGGAGAGAAGGGGGGGTCCGTGGGGGATTGTCTTGGTGGCCTGTGATCACCGATGGCCCCTCAACGCCGGCTCGTCCAAGGAAAGGTGTCTGCCCGACCATGGTGGGCAAGCCCTCGTGGTCACGGCGCGGGAGGCTCCAGCAAGGTGGGGATCAGAGCGAGGCAGCTGCTCTCACCTGGGAAAGTCCGCAGGAAATCAGTGGAGCACAGAAACAAGCATCACCGTGTCCAAGCCGGCCCTGCCACCAAAGACACGGCCACCAAGCCGAGTCCTTTGGCTTCTTGGCAGCGAGGTTATTTTTGAAAGTGAGAGTTGGTTTCTGAATAACTCAAGGCAGGAGCCACCAAGCCGTAGCAGAGGCAGGGTGGAGAGCTCAGCATCGCACCGTGGTGCCCTTACCCTTCACGTGGGCAGGGGGAGGAAGCCGGATGCGTCCCTCAGATTAAACGTTGCAGTGTAAGGTAGCTGAGGTTAGCCAAGAGTGACCACACTTCTAGCTGGGTTTCCCCATCTGTAAAATGTCCCTGTGTTTACTTCCTATATACAGTTGCTAGTAACTCTGAAATATATATGTATATTTAGCTTGTAACTGTGTTTATTTTGCAAAGGTTGAAGCCCTATCATTTTTTTTTAAGCTTTGCACCTTCACATATTGTGTGTGATTGGAGGAAATTATCTACCCATGATTCATGTGAGGAGCGCAGGGGCTGCCCATAGCAGCCCTTAGAAACATATTAATGGTCTCAGTGCTGTGGCTGGGGAATTTATTATTAAATAACGTGGCAGCCTTAGAAAGGCCGGGCTGGGATTCACTGTGCTGGTGCGGTACAAATGTTGAACACAACAGATCCTGCTCCCGGGGAGCTCTAATCAAGATAAATTGATGTTACATAAAATTTGGCTTTTAATTGCATGTTTGGAAGCGGATCAGTGTGCGT